TACACTGCCTTGATTTTGTTTGATATAAGATGGGGCAGAAAGAAGCTCTGACAGGCTTTCAACGTTCTGTTATTCTCTCCTAATTCACATAACTGTTCAAGCATCCCCTACTTCCATTAAATTAGCAAGTTTACACTTTGATCTCTGCTTTCATTATCAACATAGTGACTACCATCCTGTATCTACTTGTTTCTGTTTACTGGGAAGCAATTGCACTTGAACAAATACTGCTGTCTGTCTCTCCCTCCCTCCCTCTCTTATATGAAAGGGGTTCAAGTGTAGATTTTACCTTGGCAATGGGAATAGACAAAGAGTTCTGTAGCTTCAGCCCAACCCTCAGAAATTGCACTCAGCTAGCCATATAGCTTCTGAGCCTTTAGTAGGCATTATTCAAACTTTCAAACACATCTTCAGATACATAACTACTAGAAGCATATTCTTTAAAAAAGGAACAAAACACCCCAAATTTTCAGAAATTTGTGTCCTAAATTTAGTAAAAGATCATGCACTTGTTCTGTGTTTTTGTAGAATTCTATAAATATTATAGAAAAAAATTCTATAAATATCATAGAAAAAAATACTATTTATCTTCTGGTAAGCAAAAGCCAAGGGATGAAAAGGAAAACAAGGATTTAGCAAAATGAATTGTTGGCATAGATATATACACATTTCTCAATTCCCATTTCCTGACTGAGGTTAAGTGATTCCAAGGGAACACTTTGTCAGAATTTCCTCAAAATCAAAACAGATCCCATGAAAAGCAACAGCAAAAAGAAACTAAAAAATAGTCAAGCTGTTGTATATGCAATTAAAGTCAAGGTTAACAGCTTTTCATATTAAGGAAGTGATGAATTAAAGAAAGGCTTTAAAATAACGGCAAAAAGACAAAACTTAAGATCTATTTTGAACTTGTCCAAATGCTCTTTCAAGATCAGAGGGCTTTGGAAAGGGGGAAAAGTGCTTTAAAGTGCTAATTGTTTCTTTTATTTTTTTTTAAATGCAGTCAGCAAATGCTTGGTAAGTGCTGAAAATTTCCATGATGCTCTATTGAAGCTAACATAGTGCAATCAAAAGTAAGACTCACTGAGTTCAATTAATTTTATTGACAGGTAAGTGTAGATAGGGGTGCAGTCTTAATCCTATAATTCCAATCACAGTTTTAAAGTCCCCATAGTATGGGGTTAATATAGTCTAGAGAAAAACGTTCTCCCCCATGAAATATATCGCTCTTTCTGATTAAGCAGTAAAGACCTGCTGCAGTTTCAGCTAAGTGTGAAATAAGATCTGCTAAAGCATGGAGCAGTGCCTTTTCATTGTTATGGAATAACCTTCTGCTGGGTTTTTCTCAGAGAAGCCTATCAGGAACATGCCTGCCATTCATTTGTCTAGCATTTACTTAATGAAAATTAATGAAGGATTTAACTAATTGGCCATTGCCTTTCATGAAGTAGCTCAAATGATTAGGATTCATTCATCTTTGGGAACTCTGGGGTAGAGGTGGGTAAGCATAAAGAAATCTCACTTGTTAGAAGCCTGGGAATTCTTGAGCTAGGTAGATCATCAATTCTATATGAAGCACTAAGAAGCCCATTCTGCATAAAATGTAACTTTCTATAAAGCTGGACAACATGTGGCCTTTCATCTGGCATGGATTGTGGACTGAGCTATGCACGTGGCTTAGTTTGTGCCTTTAAAAAAAAAAAATTCCATCTACCTGTTAGCACAGGTGTTCTCACTTTGATGTTTTGTTCACTTATCCAACAGTTGTATTCCACCTGACTTCCTGCAAATCATAGCACATTTTACAGATTATTTTACAGATTACCACTTCTTCCCACAATTAATCTATAATGTTAAATGATGGTTTGCTCAAGGTCATCCAGTGAATCCTATCAATCTGAAAGAAAGTAGTCTCACTTCCAGTTTCTAATCAGACATGAAGATCAATGGATGGCATTGGGCTTTTGTTAGATCTCATTCTAATCTACCTTTCAAGACTATTCAACAAAAAGAAATAATTGAGACTTGGTACCCATAACTTTAGAAGTTCATGCTAGAGGAAAACCCAGCAGGCCAATACTTGTGCAATACTCGTGACTAGAAGTGAACACTGGTTCCTATAGCCTGATATTCATAGATACTATTGCCATCAGTTCCATGTCAGTGGCCTGAATTAATACTGTGTGGGGAGGGGGAGAGCGGAGAAAATAGCCACAGCTGTAAGTCCTCTAAGGACCATAACTTCAAAGAACAATACAAAGAAGCTTTAAGAGCTTTGCTTCCTTTTATTATGCAAAATCTGGTAATGCCTATTTGTCCTTTTTTCCCTTCAATGCTTTCCTATATGCCTTGTCTCTATTAAAGATTAATAGTTAAATCATATACAAAATGGAATCAACTGTCCTATTTCCCTTTTAAGGCACTTGCCATTATATATTTAGTCCATCAAAAAGAATAATTACATCATGGTTCAAGATCTTCATTTGTCTTAATGATCAATAGCTGAAAGTGAGAATGGGCATTCGTTGCACAAAAGCACTGAAACCAGACTCACCTTGCATACAGGATTTGCAAAATAAGAATGGGTTGTCCTCAAAACAGCCCAACAATTATGCATCTGCATTGTTTGTTTGTTAGATTTATATCCTGCTTTTCCTTCAGGAGCTCAAGGCAGTGAACATAGCACTCCCTCCCCCCATATCCCTCCCCTGCAACAAAAATATTGTTAAGTAGGTTGGACAGAGCAAGTGACTGACCCAAAGCCACCCAGTGAGCTTCCATGTCTGAGGGTAAACTTGAACTTGGATCTCCTTATCCTAGTCCAACATACTCACAATTTCTTACTGGTTGGAAAAAGTCAAGTAAGGAATAATTGTCCATACAATAGTTGTCTATACAAAGAGACAATTGACAGACTTTCCTTTGGCTTAGCTATTTTGCTATTTCTCTGCATAAATGGTGAATGAATGCCAATGCAGGCTGATTAGATGTGGTAATGCTAGTACATCATGTAGATATACAATCATTGTACTGAACCATGGGTCTATTGATGATACACTGCAAACTGAAGTTTGCAGCACCATGGAGAGCTCCATGAACATGAGAGTTTTTAGTCCCTGCTCTAGTCTACCTTTTCTTATTTACACCATTTTTGTTTTTTTGTTTCAGAATTATAATCCTTAAAAAGATAACCAACTGCCATCACATTCCCAGCATTAAAAGAAATACTTTGATATCTCTAACTTTCTGGATGCATGTTTCTTATGTATGTTGAAGCAAGAGGCAAATTAGTCTTGGATGAAGGTATCTGTGAGGATCCTGACCATTAGCCTTGGGTTCACTATAAAGAATACAGTCCAGTTCTTCAGCTAGTATTATAACAATCCCAGGTTTGGCCAACATCTTCTCCACTGAGCTAGAGGCTGGAAGAATGACCACATGGAACCTCCACTGAAGATACTTCAGCTTGCAGGAACACTTGATTAAATAAAGATCTGAATGTTAAATCTGTTCTCCTCAAATGAGGCTGCTTATAGTACTCCCCAGATGTGCCAGGACTGCAAGTCACAGAAGTCCCAGATTCTGGGTATCAATCCCAACACAACTGGAAGTGTCAGATTGAAGAAGTGTTTCTGTGGCAATAGTAGTTCTGTATCTCTCTCCTTTAAGCTTGCCTGCTGCTCAGTCTGTCACCTCTACAAAATATCACCACCTTTTCTAGCCAAGAAATTAATGCACATATGGTTCAAGTGCCATTACATTACATTTTTTCATGTTGGTTCAACATGGTTCGAAAGGACAAAAGATGCTGAGGATCCCCTGGGGATTGAAGATGCCAAGACCAATAAAGATGGTGGAAGAGACAGTGCAGGCCGAGCTTTCCTTATGGAAGACACACCCCAAATGCTATCTAGAGGCAATTGGATTGGGAACAATATAACAATCACGTCTCTATGTGCGTGTATTAATCAAGCCTATAAGAATCATCATTCCTCAAGAAATATATAGAATAACTCAAATAATTTTAATAAAAGAAAGAAGACTGAACAAGATATGTGATTACGATAAATGCAGTGAATATTGTTAGGGAAGTTAACCGCTGGCATGGGTCTGTCTTTATACATAATTGTTCTTAAAAATATAAGCATTGTAACAGAAATGCATATTTTTGAAGATTTGTGTCTTAAATGTTTACAAATATTTTGATAAAAGCGACCTTTGGCGGAAGTGTTTGTGGGCCTGGAGGAGAAGAGATGTGCTGTTCTACTGCCGAAGGCTCTCACCCAGCAAAGAACTCTCCTGCTCCAATTAGCAGCCCTTCCCTTGGTTTGTGTTTGGTGAAATTTAGGTTTGTTCTCTAAGATGAAGCTCTGAATTCATTTCAGTGTGGTATTTAAGCTACATCTGGATATTTTTCCTAAGTATATTTTCATTTCAGTTCCAAAATACCTTTTCTACAAAAACACTCTGAGTCATTTATACTGTATACAGAATGAATACAGTTTACCTCATTTTTAAATCTGCAGCTTGAAGTTTTGAACACATAAAAATCAACCAGTTAATTAGTAAGCGAATGAACCACATGTCAAATAAATAAACATATTAAATTACATCTTCATTTAGGGCATCAGAAAACGTTTTTGAGAATTTTTCTAATTCAAAATGTTTGGAAAACACCCCGCTAATAGGAAGTAGCTAATGTACCATTGCTATATAGATACCCTATACCAATATTGTATTCACAGAGAATTAAGTATACATCATTATATGTGATAGCCACTCATAGGAGAAACTTCTATTTTCAGATCAAGCACACGTGCAGAAAAATTTAGAAATATTTATTCGTTGCACATCACTGTATATTATGGTCACCTATATGGAAGTATCACCGGAGCTCATGAAACAACTCGCAGTAGCTATTGCAGCAGTTGTCCACCAGGGGGACCCTTTGGATTATAACACAAGTGTAGTGTACCAAATGTACAGATCTGGAGGCTCACCTGTGAATCCAGAAGGACAGTTGCACACGTAACCTGATGCTTTATGGTAGTTGAACACTGAGGGTAGTTCTGGAATTTTTCCATACCAATTTGACCATGATAATTCCACACACTCACTCCCGCAGAGACATGGATTACTGCTACATTCATTGATGTCTATTTCACAGTGAGAACCTATATACCCTGTGGCATTGAAAATAGCAGAAGGAATTGTAAATGATTATTCTTATTTCTAATGGGGGGCATTCTAATGATAATTTTGAAAGCAACAATGCAATTTGCTACCCAATAAAGTATTAGAGCATATGTGAAAGGCTTCAAAGAAGGGTTAAGAGAGGTATCACAGAAGAGTTTTAGCTCTACATGCATTTATTTACGTTACAACTTGTGTATGTCATAATTGGATGGATGGATGTCACATACAAAGGGCACTTCCATATGGCAACAGAACTTTGAATTGCACTCAAAAACCTACTAGCATACAATGCAGAGCCAACAGCAGAGGCACAGTATAATGTCTGCAGCACCCAGCACCAGCTAAGAAGCAGGCTGCTACATTTTGTACCAACAGTATAATTTCCAAGTGGTTCTCAAAGACACTCCATGTGGAGTGTGTTGCAGTAGCCCAGATGAGTAGTGATGAGGGCATAAGTAACCATTGCATGCAAGATCCTCCAACTCCAGGCAGGGCATACCAGCTGACTTTCACCTGCCCATTCAGCAGAAGCCAGGAGTCCAGAAGGACCCCCCATGTCATGCATTGTTCCTCAAGGATACTTCTTCTCTAAGCAGTAGTACAGTAATTCTGCCTTGCTTAGGTTTTACTTCAGCTTGTTTCATCCCATCCAGACTCTAATATCCTTCAGATACTGAGACAAGACTTCAGTAGCATCACCTATTCAGCCTGGGTTGGCAACATATAATATGATATCATCCATTGACAATATTGCATCCCAAACTAATGGATGACCCCTCCTAGTAGCTTCATGAAGATGCTAAAGAGCAGTGGGGGAAAGACCAAGTCCTGTTGCACCTAACAACTGAGCAGCTGCCAAGCCAATCTCTCTTTCCTTATCCCCACTGATGGGAACCTCCCACTAAGGTAGGAGCAGAACCACTGACAAACAGTGACCCTAATCCCCAACTCTTGCAGATGATCCAGAAGATTCTGGATGGGGGTTGCACTGGTTCTTAATCTAGGAATCCTTTTGGGCTCACAGATCCTGCTCACAGAGGGGGTGAGAGCTGTGGCCAAGAGGGCTTCTGCACAGTTCTCTCTGGTGCTCCTGTTATTAGTATTCCTGGATCAGGAAGCCATGCCCACAGCTACTTATACCTTATTTTGTCCCATTTAAATTACTGCAGTTCACTCTACATAGTGCTGGATGCCTTGAAAACTATCCAGAAGCTACAGTTGGTCCAGAATTTCTCTGACTTGAGTAGTGATGGAAGTAGGAAAGTTTCACCTATTCAGAGAGTTGCACTGGAAGGTGCTGCTTGTCAGCTTTAAAGCCCTACACAGTTCAGGGCCTGGAAATCTATAAGATTGCCTACCCCAGTGACATCTGCCCCATCCAATAAGATTGAGTCAGGCAGGATCAGTCCATGTCACTTCTCTTAGGAACTGTCATCTAAAAGACCCAATGAGTTGAACCTTCTCATCTGCAGAACCATTTTAGGTAAAATTTATTTACTAAGATCAGACTAAAACTCACCCTACTAGTTTTTAGGAGAACCATAGCAACTTGGCCTGATAATGGATCTGGCGTAGGTGGGGAGACCTCACTCTGGGTTATGTCTGGCTATTTATTGTGTCTTGATCATCATATACACCATAGTTATAATCCTGGTTTGCTTCTTTGTTACAGTGTTTACTATTTTAATCTTATAGAAAGAAGGGAATGTAAGCCACTCAGAGTCCTTTGGGACTGAAGCAGTATATAAACCCCAGCAGGCAGGCAGGAAAACAAGCAAATAAGTAAATGAATAGATAAATAAATAACAAAGTCTACTGAGAAATCTAATTCAATCAGGAGGGTCATATTCTTCATCCAGATCCTGACAAAGATTATCTACCAGTGGGACCAATGCCATTTCTGTCTCATATCCAGGCTTGAACCCTGACTGAAAAGTGTCCAACTAAACTACTTTTTTCTGCTGCACTTTGTAACTGACTCTTCACTCTCTCAACCTTCTTTCCCCTAAAGGGCACATTGGAAAACAAGTATTATCAAATATGTCTGGGTTCAAGGATGGCCTCTTAGGGAGAAGTCATACCACAGTCTTTTTCAAGGCTGTAGACATCACCCCCTTCCAAACTGACAGGCTCCTGGTCACGTCCTCCAGTCCCATGTAGGACTCAGGAGGGCATGGGTCTAGCCCGCAGGTGGCAGACGTCATGCTAGAAAGCATGTATCCATGCCAGAAGTCTCAGCGAGCATGGCAAGACGTTGCCTGACCTCACCCATAAATACTCCAGAGTGGCAAATCTGAGAGATTTAACAGGGAAAATACTGGACTAGGCACCTACCTATTCTTTCCCCAAAAGAAGTTGGCCATCCTAAACATGGCCACTAGCTGACAACCCACCAAGACTGTAAGGGAGGAGAAGTATAGATACTTCATTTCCTTTCCCACCAAGGATGCTGAGCAAGGCCTTGTTGTATCTAGGGGATGGGAGGCATGAAGAAGCAAAAACAGTGCCAATATAAAAGTAGATTTGCCTCAAGGCCAAGCATTTCCCCTCCTTCCCCCCAAAACCCCTAAATCTTTGCTCCAGTTTCATATAAATCAGTGCAGAGTCAGAAAAATACTGATTCAGCCATTGAAAAAAGCCAATATCATGGGGGTGGCAAGCCTGGAGCCCCAACTGGAAAACAAGTGTACATGGAGGGCCCCTAAGCTAAATGCCATGTTTTACAAATCACAATGACTGTATGAACCCAATATTTTAAGCCAAAGCCTTAAGCATATTGCAAGTTAATGTGATATCTGAATGTAGCCTTCATCTATAACAGTGTTTCTCAACCTT